AACAGGAATGTCGTATTAAACAAAGGACACTTCAGAACTCACTGTATGACGACACTTTAATATAGTCTATTTCAGTACTGCTATCTACCTCTGACCAGCAAAAGAAACAAGTGTATAGGAAGTGCACAGACAGAAGTTTGGAGGGTTCTGAGAGAAGGCTACGTAATCTGGAAAAGTTAAGTCCGTGTCCAAACCGTAGAGCATGACAACCGGAGGAACGCAATAAGGACGTGTTGCAGGTTTAAATTTTCCCGTGAGCTACTGGAATAGACACACACGGCCTGCTTGAGAAGCAATAAGGATTAAAGAAGAACGTAATATAGCAATTTAGCACACGTATTTAGAAGGCCGAACAGTACAGTAGAAAAGACTCTTTTCATTTATTCAGGACACATCTCCGTGCATCTTTTGGGCTAGCAATACTCCTCTACTGGAGAGTCTTTCATCTAGTCAATCTCAGGACTTCAGCCTAATCTGGAAATTTTAGGATCACCAGCATCGTGAAGGTCAACAACTCGAATTACTCCGTAGAAATGTGGAAGCGGCTGTCCTAATTCAGGATTGCTGAATTTATGCGAAGCATGTCTATACAGGTAGGTGGAAGGCCAAGGAAGCTCTGATCCTTTCGTACATAAGTATCTCAGCCTTTTTTGGAGAAAAAAATAACACACAATTAAGTTGTTAACGCATTGTCTTTCCGGTCTTCAATCGGCTGTGTGTGTGTGTGTGTGTGCATAATGAATGCCAGCCTGTAGTCGTCATAACCGTTGCAGTAGGTGTGGCAGAGACTGCATGTGATTAAAAAATGGCCTTGAGCCTGTCTTAGCACTAACTGAGGATGAGTGAGGGTAGGTAGTGCGGTAGTACCCGCGCAAAGTCTACTGTCACTTAAGACTAATTTAGGCGGTGTTTCTGGCTTGCGTTGGAGAAAGTGGCAAACGCCGGTTCTGGTTTGGTCTTCTTGACCCCGGGCGACGGTGAAGAGTGCGGTTGGCGCCATCTACGTCCGCTATCGTTATAATCCACTCCCTGAGACTTGTCAGCTGTTGGTGCACTTGGTGGACTTAATCGAAATCGATAGTCGAACACACACACACACATGCACAAAATAGCCACAAAGTACTCCTTTAGGTGGGAAGAACAGACGGCACAAGTTACAAGACCTGAGACGTGGGTACTTCAATTACACTTTTTGGTTATTCGAGGGATTTATTATTATTAGGAGGGGAGGGCTTTAAAAGAAGAAGCAAACTGGTTGCCCTGTTGAATAAAGCCCTTACCGAAAGCGAAGCCCAGTGCGTCCTGAACGGCCTGGTCTGTAGCCTCTAACTGATGCGACTTCCAGA